GGTCCAGACCCACTGGGGAAAGGGTGTCCCTGTGAGGGGGAGCACTGGGGCCGGGGTAAGAAGGTGGTGAGTCATGAGCTGATTCGAAGAGAGGAGCCCGAAGCCAATGAGAACCCTTCCCAAAAATGGAAGCGCCGGGTGTTGTGCTGCTGGGAATCAGCCCCGGTGCCGCTGCTTCCCTGCTGCCAGCACCCAGCAGGACCATCCCGGGGAGGGAAACCACCACGGGGAAGGCAGGGACCCCAACCAGGAGCTACGGTACCGTGGGTAGAGCCACCAGGAGAGGCACCTCGACACAGCCAAACATCCCGTGGGAGAGGTAGGGCCATCCGGGGATTCCGCCTCTTCCCCCCGCGCTGAGGTTGTTCCAAGTTGGGCTCACCTGGGCCAGGCACCCGTCGTGGGTTCTCAGGTGGCTTGTAAGGGTTGAGCTCAAACCCAAGGCTGTGCCCGCCTCCTCAGGCAAAGGGGCAGGTAAAGGGGTGTCTCTTCTCTCTGCTTTTACAGCCCCTCAGAGGTGCTGCCATCAGATCTGGCTGAAATTAGCCAGCAGGTTCTAATTATTAAGGATGGGAAGGGAAACTCCACAGATACCTCCTGTTGTTCAGCCATGAGGCCAAAAAACTTGTCCGTGCTGATTCAGGGGTCTGAGCTGCTCACAAGCCCTTCCTGGCCAGAGCCCTTTCCCACCAGAACCAGAAGGATGTTTAAGGCCCTAATTTGTTGCCCTTCCTGCCAAGTATCTCATCCCTAAGCAGGCCTGGTGTCTGATATCCAGGAGAAATGCTCCAAGGGTGTTATTGTGGTGACCCACTAACTAACCTGGACACTGCCAGGTTATTGGGTCATCCCAGCCCTGCTCTTGCCCCAGCCCCACAGCAACCCTGCTCCTGCCTGCCATCCCAACAGCTCTGGAGCATCCAGCCAGCTCTGGCTTTTCTGCTGCAGCCCCTAGCCCTTCTCCAGTCACAGGGAATGACGTTTCCTTTCCCAGCCTCCCCAGGAGAGATGGATGTTTCCTGCTACTTCCCTTATCTCAGGCAGTGGCTCAGCAATCCCAGGGCTGCCAGGCCTGGGGGAAGAGGCAGCCAGGATTTCCTGCCCAAAACTGCCTCCGTGCCAAGGATTTGGCTGCCCCTCCTCCTTCTCACTAGGAAGCTGGGGCTTTGGGCAGGGCAGGGGGTGCTGGAATCCTCCCTCCCTCCCCCAGCCATATCTGTCAGGAACAAGGGAAGCTGGAGGGGCACACTGAGGGGGTTTACTGGGCAGGGAGTGGTTTGTCCTGGTTTGCCCAGTTTAGCAGAGGGAGTTGCCAGTGTCTGTGGCAGAAGGAGCTCCTGGATCTGGCAGAAGCCTTCCCCAGCCCCGTCCCGCAGAGCATCCTCCACCTCCTCCAACTGCAGCACATCTGTTTCTGCACAAAACACCACCAAGTAAATGCCTATTTGGTTTGTGTTTTTTTTTAATGCCCAAGCTATGAGAAAAACTAACCTCCCGCAGCCAAGGGCTCTGCTGAGACACATGGAAGTGATTAGAGGGATCAGTGCCCAAGGAGCCTCCTTTGGTGTGAGCAAGCATCCCCTCCCCCCCCCCCCCCATCTTCATCCATATTGCTGCCCCTCTCCCCATCTTTTTCCTCATCTCCATCTCTTTTCTCATCCTCATCACCATTCCTATCCCCATCCCTACACTTATTCCTGTCCCCATCCTCAGCCCCAGCCCTGTCCCCAACCCCATTTCCATGCCCATCCTCATCCCCATCTCCATCCCCATCTTTATTGTCATCCTCCTCTCCATCCCTATTCCCTTCCCTGTCCCCATCTCTATCCTTGTCCCCATTCCCATCCCCATTCTCAAACCCATCCCCATCCTCATGCCCAGTGAGGCTCCCAGTCACTCCTAAACCCCAGGGATGCCCGTGCCAACTGGAATCTTCTCCTGGTACTGGGGCACAACTCCAGCCCTTCCCAGCTGCTGCTTTTTGTCCTGACCAGTGCTGGTTTTGCCAAGGGGGTGGTAAAAACTGGTTAAAGCTGGTACAAGAGGGCTGGGAGCTGTGTCTTTCACATGCCAGAGGGTCTTCAGACCTTCTTTTTCCCTCCTCTCCTGCCCCATCAGCCCATTGCCACCTCCCAGCTGCCACCAAATGCTACCCTTCCCTAAGCAAGGGACATTCAAGCCAGGGTCCCACCCCTGGGACAGACACTTGGCTTCATGAGGGGGCGTGGGGGACAAGGCTGGGTTTGTCCCTGCTTGCAGGGCTGGGAAGTGCAGAGGGGCTGCTGGTTCCCTCGCTGTGCCTGATTTCCCCTGGAGAGCCCCGGGAGGTGTTTGAATTTTTAAAGACAATCCACTCTGTTTTTTATTTTATTGGCACAGGGAACTCCTGGAAGGCTGGGGATGGTGTCCAGCTGGCCTGAGCCCTGCTCAGAGCCCTAATGGTTTTCCGTGGCCAGGCGAGGAGTCTCCCTCCAAGGCCTGGAGCCGAGGGGAGCGGAAACTTGTCCGGATGTGGCCCCTCCAACCCCACTCACCAGGACAACCAGGTTTCCAGGCCAGCTCATCCCCAGCACTTCTGGGAGCTGCTTTCCAGGATGCCCAGCAGCTCATGCTCTGCCTGGGATGGAGGGGACAGGAGCCACGATGACAAATCCCTGTCACTGTGGCACGGACGAGCATCCAGCTGTTTCCAAGGATTCCTGCCGGGAATGCCACGAATGCATCCCTGATTTATTTCTCCCTCCAGCCTCCGGGGTTTGACACTTCTCTCCTTGTTATCTGGCATTCCTTGGCCACGCGGGTGGGTTTTGGGACAGACGAGATAGGGACGCTGGCCTGGGGCCAGGGAAACACTCCAAGAAGATGGCAGTGGAGCTTTTGGCTGCTCCCAGCCTGGATTTCCAGGAGCATTCAGCGACCTCAGCTGCCCGGATTGGGGGCTGCCCCCTCCTCCAGCACTGCAGGTCCCCGACATCCCAAATCCAAGCCAGGGAACCTCCTGCCCAGCTGCCCATCCTCGAAGTGTTGACCCTTCCGGACTTGCTTGAGCTGCACGACAGATTTTGGCCGTTTCGGTTTTCCACCCCCCCGTGGATAAGGAGTCACATTCCTGCCCGGCTCCAGAGAACGGGATCCGAGGGAAGGGAGCAGGGAGCGGCCAAGGACTCTCGCCCACGCCCCGACCCCGGCTGGCTGCGGGCCCGGCTCCGGGGGCGGGACAGGGAGGGAGAGGGGGGGGGATGGAT